AGAAATAATCATGATGCGGTTTTAGAGTTCTTTCTCGTACTGTAAAAAATGAAGATGAATTACCGAACTTAAAAAAGCTTCAGCAAGAAGTTTAACAAGCTGCTCAATTAGGGCAGCTTCTTCTTCAAAACACACAGAAAGAAACCTCCTTCCAGACATTTTTACTTTCATAGGCGTAACGATTGCTTTTGTGCAAAAATTTCGAAACGTTTAGAGTTCCATAGAATGTCTCGATGTTACATGTAAAACCTACGTAGGTGAAGTAATCACGAGATTCGAGTGTTTCCAGCCTGGATTCGCTCGGAAACTTGTTCCAAATCTCATATTCTTGTTTCAAGTACAACTCAACGAGCTCTAGCCAATGGTATACTCTGATTTTCCATAACCCGAACTATAATTTTCAGGCTTTGTACTGTGCCATCTATAGTCCCAAAAATCATACTTTAGGTTGTGGCGAATCTGAGTGTATCGTTGAATAGAGCTCGTCGAGTTCTGCTTGGAACAAGAAAAGGAACGTTGGAACAAGTTTCTGAGTGAATCCGGGCCTGGAAATACTCGAATCTGGTGATAACTTCAACTACGTGTAAAATCCTCGGAACTTTCTACTAACCTTCGAAGATTTAGAAATATTTATGCGAAACCTTTTTCCGCTTACGGAACCTAAAATTAGGTTCTGAAGGAGTCTTCCGTGCGCTCATGCGAAGAACTTTTCTGGTTTAGCAGCTTGCTAAACCTTTCCCAAGTTCGGTAATACACTTTCAAGTTTTCCAGTACAAGTAAAATGATAATCTAGCTACTACTAACCTATTCGCTACAACATTATCTTCTATGCTGTGTACATTGTAACGGTTATTTTATGGAGATTAAAAATGCTTGTCGAAAAACGTCAAACATTAGTTAATAGAATAAAATTGATTGTTAATCTCTAATGACGAAAACTTCCCAGTTATGACGCGCCGTTTGCCTCTCACTTTATACCAATGTGAGGTTAGATAGATACTAAAAGGATTCTTCCTCGTACGTTGTCCTTCTCCTGTTGCGAACATTTGACTAGATATCTGATCTCTAGCAGCATATATACGAAAGCCATTGAGCTTCAAAATTTCGACCTAGTATTTGAGGCTCAGGGTGAGGGTGTGGATGGGTGTAAAGTGTAGGTGCGGGTGTAGGTGTGGATGTGGGGTGTGTGGGTATTATTACACCATTAACGGATACCCACACACACACACACCTGATGGCTGCGCGAGTACGAGTACAAAATGTACTCTGAAATCAATATCACTCCCATAAATTTAGAATCAGCGGGGATGTACTCTGATCGTCGTATGTACTAGGAAAATTTTTAGAATCGGTGGGGATGTACTGTCATGTACTATTGTGTACTGGGTCGAAAAACTTAGAATTACTTGGTATGTACTCTGATGTACTATCGAGCATGGGTGTGAGCGTAGGATACGGATATTCTCTCAGACGGAGACCAACACCCACATCCACATCCGATAGTATATGAGAGTACATACCAATTAATTCTAGGTTTTTTGACCCAGTACATGACTGTACATGAGAGTACATCCCCATCGATTCTAAACTTTTCTCCAGTGCATATGGTAGTCAGAGTACATATTTGATTTATGAAAGTATATGAGTAATTGCGAGTACAAGTTGTACTTGTATTCGCGCACCTCTGCCACACCCACACTAACACTTTTATGTTCATCATGATAAAAGCATACGAAATATTCTAAAGTTTAACATGTAGAAAAAAGCATCAACTATTAGAGGAAATGCAGTTGATATTATCAGTACACAAAATGAGATCCTAATGACATAATCAAGATTCTCAATTAGGGCCCATATCACACGTTTGTTCACACTACTGCCAGTATAGTGAAGGTTTATAACTTTTGATTCCAGCTACAAACAATTGCTAAGAGTATGTTCTACCAAAATTCGAATTATTTATTAGAAATAATTCAAGTTAACAGAGAATAAAACAGTTTCAGAATATATATTACTAATAAAAACTTTTGGAGCATCATCTATCATAAAAATTAATCTCATAACTGGAATCGATTTAAGCTCTGTATCAAGTAGAGACGACTCAGATGCATCAACAATATCAACGTACATTGAAAACGAATCAATCTGTTAATTTTAACAGATTTAAAAAGTACTCACCTGTTTTGATACAATGCACCATCATACAATACTTGAGAAAAACCAATGGTAATTATCGCATGGAGGGAGGAATGGCAAGATCCTTCAAATGTTCCACTTTCTACTAAAACTCGTTATACTTTCTGGCAATTTTTTACAACTTCGTGATAACATTACACAGAAATCAAGTTTCGAAACGCCATTTGCTTTTCTCTGGCACAAAATGAAATAAACATATGCAGACAAAATTGTTGCGAGATGAATAGGAATAGAGAGAGATGGTCTAATCACCGGCCATCTGCTGTAGGAGAGATCAGGTCACAGTTGGTTTGATTTTCCTTCCACTTCATATCGTTTCTAGCACTTCAAGAGTGAAAACACTTCCGATGAAGATTTCCAAACCTTCTACCACATTTTCAGCTTCTCTGACCTCTAAAATATATATTGACAATCCGGAACATAATTTTCGACTAATATCAAAAGCCTTTCTTCAATGAAACACCTACAATTCGTTTTTTTTTACATAGATGATGGATTTCGATTCAAACAATTTTGATTTTGATCCAAATAAAATATCTGCAATAGAAAAAAAACTTAAAGATGATAGTTATGTTCTTATACAATTTTCAAGGGATCATTTGCCAAATGATCATCACATTCTGAAAAATCTGAAAAATTTTTTAATTGAAATTATCAAAAAGCTCGATGGTCAATGTTTAGATGATAAGGAAGAAAAAACTTCTATTGTTTGGCATTTTCAACCAATACAAGCATCTTCCGATAGAAAACAAGCTGAATATATGGCATTATTTGTTTTAGAACCAGATCACTTTAGTGATGGACAATTAGAAATAATTCGATTATCAAACATTTTACAATGTTTATCATTGGAAACAAAAGAAAAGTTACTTAAAAATAAAATACAAATAAATATATCAGAAGAATTTCGAAAATCATCATATATTGATCATATAAATGTACCAATTTTGATAGATCATGATAGAATTCGTTATAGATACGATATTTTATCGCGAGAAAATAATGAAGAATTAAAGGAGATTAATTCAATAATTAATACAACCAAAAAAATATATTCCAAAATTAAATAAATACACAATGATTATTTTCAATAATCAAACATATCTTTATGCTACAACTAAAATTCTTGATAATTGTCGTCATTTACTTCAAATAAGATTTAATCAACCATTACCATATAATATTTTTTCTGTTTATGACCAAGCTAAATTACTTCGGGAATATTTAACATTTTCAAATGAATTGTATGATTATTTTGATAATTAACATAAAAATTTGCATAAAATATTAAGTTTAATTGTCAAACAATATAGTCAACCAGCAGGTTTAGGTGAACAAAATTCGACAAACTTTTCAGTTTAATTCAAAAACTCATTATATTCTAACACAATTAAATATTCATCGACCAGATATTCAAATAGGGACTTATCGTCCAGATATTATTTTTGGCCATCGAAATTTATTTAAATTAAATGGAATTTATTCGTTTCAACCAAAAATGTGTGAAATTAATGCACTCAAATATCACATACAGAAGAGTACGAAATTTTTTTTATACGATAGTGTAAATCGTTTCAAAAACAAATATTTACACAAAATACCGAAACAAGATCTATGAGATGAATACATTGTTTTGAAGAAATTTTCCATTAAAAACAGGTCTTGGACAGAGACAGTTAGGGTAGAGTTTTATAAGACTAAGAAAGTTTAAAAGAATTCTAGTTCATACACTATCTTAGCCAAGACCGAATATTTGCTAAGTGATGAATTAGTCTTTCTTTTTTCGTTTCTTACCTTAACTCAAAACTGATGAGAGTTCTGAAAATCTCAACATAGTATCTTCACATGACTATAACAGACTTCACATTGGTTTCTATTCAGATAGTACTTTAAATAGTTTTATTTCAGATCAGCATTGCAATGTAACACGAAAAAAAAGTAATTAATATATTATGTTTTCACTAAGGAGGGTGTGGGTATGGGTATGGGTGTGGGTGTGGGTGTGGGTGTGGGTGTGGGTGTGGTGTGGGTGAGTGTGGGTGTGGGTGTGGGTTTCAATCAAGATGAAGATGACACCCACACCCACACCCAACTGATAATCAAAATAGATTTTCAAAAAAATATTCGAACTTAATTGAAACAATAATAAAATTGTCGAAATTTGATACAAAAAAAAACAATGTTTATTCTTAAATCTAAAGAACATGGCTATGATATTCATTTATTTCAACAATATTGGACAAAAAAAATATTCTCAACCATGTTTTTGTATTGATCCAAAACAATTAACAATTGAAAATAAAAGCTTATTTGATAAAACTACAAATTATTCTATTGAACAATTTATTCTTGAATTACATCAAGATGGAATTATTGATTAAAAATAATCAATTAAATTATATAAACGATCTTCAAACAATATTTTTTGTACATGATAAACGTTTATTTTCACTTTAATCAAATCAACAATTTCTTTATGCTTTATTAAATAATTCACAGCATACATTTACACAATTTTATACCAATAACCTATGTTATTAATAAAATACCAAATTATTTAAAAGATTCTATTATAAATAATAAACAAGATTGATGTATTAAACCAAATTCAGCTGAAAAGGGCGAAAATATTACTATTGGTATGAATATTTATCAAGTAGATGTTTTCTTATTAAAGATTGCAAATTATTTTATTCAGGTGCTAATGTCACATTAGCAGAATGGACTTGTCAATTATTAGATTCAAATCATGAACAATAGATTGTTCAACAATATATTCCATGTGTATAATATCAATCAATGAATATATCTGAGATGTTATTCTGTTTTAATGATCAATGTTTTAATATTGAAACGATTCGAATGTCTTCGAATAAAATTGTTCATATTTCTAATGGAGGTTATTTTATTCGTTCGTATGTACATCAAGAATATATTCATTCTATGAAAGATAGAAATATTTTAACTAATGAAAAATTACATGAACAATTAATTGAACTAAAACCTATTGATAATCAATGGAATCAAAGTGTTTATGTATCATCATCTGGTGGTAGTGGAGGAAAACGTTTATTTTTCCATTACAAAGACAAATTTTAGTTGATATGATGATTGAACAAAATATTATATCTTATTAAAGCTAGTCGAAAATAATGTGAATAAATATTTTGAGGTATATTTGTTTTGACAATAAGAAATTGTATTATCAGGATCTATATTTATGATAACTTAAGATAAAGCTACACAATTGTTTTAGCCTATGATA